AACCTTTTTTATGTGCAGGTCTAAGTTGGATTAGCCAAAAAAAAGAGTCCAAAAAGATATTCAACTGATGCTAAGACCGAAGACAATTATCTATTTCTAAGGAGGTGTTACTTTTGCTTGCAACTGTATATAGATAACTAACATTGCTGCTCGATGTTGGGTTCCAAAAAAATACAAATTGAAAGAACAAGCGAATTGAAATGAGAAATCAGAATGCTAAATTGATTATGTTCAGCAAGAGTCAAAAATCGGGAAAAAAAGAGACGATCAAAAATCCACAAATAAAAGCACAACACACAGCTCAAGAATCAACAAGGATCTAGAAAAATTCGATATAGCATTAGGCAAAGATGAAAGGGAACACATGTAAAACCAACCGAAGTATGATAACACAAAATTGTCAACATAATCCGAAACAAGCTTATAGTGGTCCAAATAACTCGCGCGGTAAAACAAAACTTAACCATTTGGATTACTTCCGAAAAAAAAACTACAAAAAGTTGTCCTATAACATTGTTCACTCCTCCCCGAGGATGGTTCCCTTCTCACTAACATAGATACCATCCAGAAACTTTCTGATATCTTTGTTCTTCACGTGGCATTTCTGTCCAAAAAGAAAAAAAGACAAAATCTCAGAAATGAAATCGATTTAATTCAAGTATTGTATGTTTTTGAATATTATATTATAACTTATGTCTATCTACATTTTATTTATAGATGTTTGTGAGGTCGTGAATCCTGAAAGAGAGAGAAATAGACCTGGTTGATAAGGGCAGCAGACCGAGACACAAGCTCGATGTCACTACCATCCAACACCAGCTCATCCTTAACCTTATCAGACCGGGTAATGGTGACACCGTCAAGCATATCCACCTTTCTCACCTGATACAGCAGAAGAATAAATATATACTTATAAGAACCATTTACATAAACAGTCTTTTATGTTAGAATCAAGAGTAAACAAGTCCTCCAACTAGTGCTACTACAATTTGCAACAGAGATTTACAATACCCAAAAGCATTTTTCACCGAATGAACTTCTGTGAATAGAGAATTTCATGCTTCAATTACTATCAACTACTGTTGCAGAATGATCACCAGCCAGATGTTACAACATACAAACATAGCCGTACAAACTTAGTTTATCCACATTCTATAAACAGTATTGATTTACTACGTGACTAAGGACTCATTCAATCAAAGAATGCATTTGCTCAAGAGCAACTTCTCAAGGGATCGCCTCTAGAAAACGTAAACCATTAATAACCACAAAACAGACATCTTTAAAATTCAGACTCATTTCTAACACGTTCGTTGCTCATCTGATACATATAAAATGAAAGAATTTTGATTAAAAATCAATATTGCACATTCATTATAGAAATGTGATCAAAGTTACATGGCAAAAAACACTAACCAAAATAAAATATGGCGCAGCAACCCAGGAAAACAAAAGAAAATGATAAAGACAGGCTTGTCAGCAGCCTCTGTTTCAGATACTAGTGAGTAAACCAAAAGTTGAATACAATCTGAGCTGTGATGGACCTCGCCCTAGCAGCTTTTATATCAAACACAAAACCACAAAAGCAGCAAGACAAATCACACAAATTTGAGCAACAAAGTCAAAACGACAACAAGCATTGAATAAACGAAATGAAGGAACTTTGTAAAACGACACGGCCTTCCTCAAGAAAGCACTACATCCAATTCATAATAAAACAGGTTAATACATCGTTGAAAGAAAAACTGTTATAAATACCCAATTCAATATAGAAAAATCTTTTCTCACTACGAGATAACTAAAACTCGCATAAGAGATTACTTCTCACAAAAAGGCTTCCAAACGGTGTAAACCAGCAACAACCAACAAATTGGCTCCTTTCATATCAAAGTTTGACACATTGAAGGCTTCACATTGTAAGCATAACATTACTCATTCATTGTAGAAATGCAATTAAAGTTCCATAACTAAATACTGTAAGCATGAACAGAACCAAAGCAAGTTTCACGTAAGTCCCAGAATTAGTTTCTCACAAACAGTTCTCTTATTGTTGAAAATAGCTTATTGCGAATGAATCGAAAAGAATGAAAAAAAAAGAACAGACAAAATAAGCAGCAGAAACAAAGCAGTAAAATCCGGTAAAGAAATACAAAATGCGATACCAACAGAGCAAACAAAATAAAAATTAACAAAAAAAAAAAGAGAGAGAAAGAAAGGTACCTTCTTCTCGCCCAAAAAGTTCCGGATCTCGATGGACTTGCTGCCGCTGGTGATGGAGGCGTTGATAGGGAAATGGGCGTAGACAAACCTCATCTTGTACCGGTATCCCTTTGTGACGCCGGTGATCAGATTTTCGACATGGCTGAGGGCGGTACGGATGGCGGCGCTGGTTTTGCGAGATCCGAACCAGGCGTCGATCTTGAGCTTGCGCTTTCCGGTCTCCTCGTCGGTGATCAGATCGAAGTCGAGATTGAGGTGCTTGAAGTTCCGCACCAGCTTGCCTCTCGGTCCTTCGACCTCGATGATCTTCGCGTTAACATTGATTTTGACACCTTCCGGGATGTCCATGGTTTCCGACGAGAGAATGGTCTTCATCTCTGCTCTCTCTCTCTCTCTCCTCTCTCTGTCTCTCTCTCTCTCAAGGAGTCGGCTGGGGAATGAAGTGCAGAGGGAGGCCTTAAAACCCTAGCTGCACGTTGATTCATATATACATCAGGTTTTGGAGCCCTAATTGGCGCCTGGGTTTTGCGGGCCGAACTATGCCATTAAGTTCCAAAAGGAATTGAGCCCATCAACTTGTTTTTAGGCTGCTTATGGGGGCCCATACATTTTCTTTCTGTTGTAGTTCAATGTCTACAAAGCATGTAAATTTAAAATAAAATAAAAAAGCTGATTAAATACTCTTTTGACTATAGTTATTTGACTAGTAATATTAGTCAATATTAAAAAGTAAAAATCTAGATTAATGCATTTTAAAAAAAAAAAAATTCTAGGGGTGAACATCATGTGGGTTTTTAAGATTTTTAAACCCACCTAATCAAATTTGGGTGAGTTGATTTCAAAGTTAATCTACCTATCAACACAACAATTTAAAATCGGGTTAGATAGATTAATTGGGTTGAACAAAATAAAGAAACTATAAATAAACCCGAGATAAGAAAGTTAATTTTCATCATAATATTAGTCTCATAATTAAAGTTTCAAACTTGTCTCATAAATTATAAATTAGTATAAAAATAAAATATATGAAGACAAGTTTAAATATATAAGTTGTAAATCAATAAACAAACAATAATAAAAACTCATATAACATAAAATATAATAAGTTGTGAAGTAATTAATGTAAAATATAATACAAATACAATATATAGTTTAAGATTATTATTACTGGTCCTTTAAACTTTAGTATCATTCTTAGTTTGCTCACTAAATTTTAAAAAAATTAATTTTGCTCCTTATACTTTAAATTATTCCCATTTAATCCATTATGTTGTAATTTTTGTTAAAAACATATAAAAAATAGAGTAATACAATCATGTGGTTTTTTTTTTTTTTGTTTTGTTTCAATTTCTGTTAAAAATAAAGAGATAAAAATCATATGCTATACTTAACCACTTTCTTTTTTTGTCTGATTTTAACATAATTATTACAAATAGACAAAATATGACAAATTTAAAATTCAAACAGTAAAATGAGAGTTTTTAAAGTTTTAGAGATAAAATGAGAATAATCTCAAAATTTAAGGAAATACTAGTAAATTAATCCTATAGTTATACACATGAGATTAGTTTAATGTGACCAGATAAAATTGATTGTTGTGAACCAGTAATGATGGTAGCCAATGTCATCTGCAGAGAACTTTTTGTAATTTCGTCTCTCATTTTGTCTTGGCTTTACTCCGAAAAATAGGGCATAAGAGTTCAACCCACATCGGTAGATTACACAATTGTGTCCAAATTTCTACTCCTAAAAAATACTGAGGTTTTTTCTTTTTTATAGTTTTCTTCTTTTTATGGAAAGAACTTTAATGGTCATAATGTTTAAAGATCAAATAGGAAACATGGAAAATTTTATAGTGGAGAACCGTAAAGGACCCAATGTATCAATAAGGCTCGTCATAACTTATGGAGACTAATTATTTACTGGTATTATTTTTATGTATAAAAGTAATTTATTCAAATAATTAACAACTCTCCAACAGTGATATTCCAATCCTTCAATTCACGTTACCGCTCAGTTAATAAAATTTGACTACTCAGATATCCATAAATTATTGTTTGTTTTTTTGGTTTTTTTTTAGTTTTAAATCTTTGTTGAAGCCGTTGAATCTTACTCGTTGCATACATATGTAGGATAACAATCGCTATAGGAGAGAGCCTGTTTAGTTCGCTGATTCGAGTTTTTAATTTAAGTTGAGATGTGACTTTATGTGAAAACTTTTGACTGTAGCAAAAAAATTAGATGTTACTGTTTTTGAAAACTTTTTACTGTATTAAAACTCAAATTATAAACTCAAATTGATAAAATGAACACGGTCTTTTATTAGCAACTTCTTCAACTTAGTTCCCGTTGTCACTTTTATCTTCTCCATCATCGTCAAGTGAGGCATCTATTTAAACAATATATGTTTATATATACATGTATAGGAGTTCAATTTTTTTTTGGTGCGGTACAAAAAAGAACATTTTATTGGTTCTTATAAAGTTTTCTAACTATATAGTGTCAATTCAAAATTCTTTAAATTTTTATAACCTAACAAACTTTTTTTTTATGCACCAGCGCTATAAATAAAACTTTTTAGCATCATACTCCTTAAAATTTATGTGCTTTGATAAATTCTTTCATGAACTTTTAATCTTAACAATTAATTTTCAAAACTTGTTAAAGTATGCAATTTGGTCCAACTTGACAATATCGTTTGAATTAGTGATGAAAATCCCACGTGTAGGTCACATTTTTTGACATTTTACTTCTTAAATTTTTAGTGTTTTGACAAATGCCCCTAAACTAACCTATATTGGCAATTAACCCTTTTTTTCCTTCACCAATTTAACAAGAGATATTAATTTGGGCCACATTGCGACTGTTAACGGTAATATTTATTTCCATTGAAATGCGTTTGTAGATTGGAGAAGCTAAAATGAAGACTCTTGGAGCATTACTATGTGTTGTTGGAGCTTTAACAACTAGTCTTTACAAGGGAAAATAACTCCATATTGGTCATCACCACATTTAATACTTCTGATGCACTTTCACACGTGGCACATTCATGTTGGTCGGATGCTGCCTGTCATATTCAGTATGGTTCATAGCACAAGTAAGTTGATGGGGTATGATTTTAATAGTCATTTTAATATTTATTTATTAATGAGATTATTATTTTAGTTATAAGATATTAATTTAACGGTTGTAATAAATTAAATAGTTGATTGAAATAATTAATGATAATTAATAAAATTAGATTTTTATCATGCCACGTCATCAAATTTTTATATTTAGAAGTGACACTACAACAAAAAAGCTTATTTGCAGTGACGTCATGTCGTCACAAATAACTGACTTGTCGTCGCAAATAAAATATTTATGATGATATGTCGTCGCAAATAATATATTTGTGACGACATAGATTTAAAATGTCGTTGCTAATATATTAGCGACGATAGTCGTCACGAATGTTCTGTCGAATATGTCGTTGGCGATAACGTGTCATACCATATTTGCAATAACATAGTGTCATCGCAAATAGTTTTTTCTTTTTTTTTCGTACTTTCCTAATAATATTAATTAATAAAGATATAAATTTGGAGAAAACTTAATAATAAAATAGAACAATAAAATTGATATAGAATAGTCAATACAATAATAAGATCAGTCTTAAAAGTAAATTAATCAATAAATACTACAAAGTGTTGATAATATATATATTTTAATCTCCTAAATTAACAGCATCGTCATCCTCGTTCTCGTCATCGTCTTCTTCATTTAGCTCAGGCCTAGAGCTACCCCTCGATCAGGTCGACGTCGATGTGTCGTCTCGGGAAAATAACAAAATTCGATTATATAGAGTTCGCCGAATAAAAAATACCGTTAATGTGTTATAGCATATAATACCTGACTTACAATGGACCGAGAGTCTTGTCGGATTGGGTAGAGGCTGTGATCCTCTTGCAGAGCCGGCAATTATTTTTCTAATTATCAAAAAATCCAAACCTACAAAAAACTAGCTTTTAAATGATTTCGGCACACCATAACTGCAAGATGTGTCACCCAAACAAGTCATCTAAATTTTTAATCATAACCTAAATCAAATTACAAGCAGATCTCATAAAATAACATCCTAAAAAATTCACACATAATTTATACCAAATTTCAATAATCTCAAATTTTAATATTTATAATATAAACTTCAAATTATATACTAATTCTAAAATCTATAAATCAAAAATCAAAATGTAAAATCTATAATCTAAAATTCTAATAATAAAAAACCCAAATATTTTAAACTAAAAATAGAATAAATATGTAAAAAACTTACAAAAATCAAACCCACTAAAACGGGGGTTAATAACGGCGAAGGTTGGGCAGCGGCGAAGGAAGACGGCGGAGGAGGAGGAGGGCGGCGAGGAGAGGGAGTATTTTTTATACTTCTTTTGATGAAAAAACACTTAAAATGATTAAAACTTATGATAAATGTTGATTTGGCGATGATTTAGAAGAGAATAGAGGGAGGTTTTAGGAGTTTGGGGTCAGAAAATTGGAGAGAGGCCAAGAGAGAGAAAGAGATCGGAAAAAATGGAGGAGAAGGCTTTGGTCGTGGGCATATAGACAGAGTTTTTTACGACGAAAAAAAGAATATTGTCATCGCAAATATAACTTATAACTATTTGCGATAACATGTGGCAACTATATCTTAATTATTTAATATTTAAAAGGAAGGTTCTATAATTATTATTTGCGACGACATATATTAATGTCGTCGCAAATAATGTTTGGGAAACCGTCAATTCCCCCCTCCCGGTTTATTTTAGCGGGGAATTCAAAGTCATTTTTTGCGACGAAACCTATTAATGTCGTCGCAAATAAATTTTGTGAACCGCCAAAATGACCCCTTTTTACTCTGGGGACAATAAATAAATGATATATTTCTAATGTTATTTCGCGACGACAATGTGATTATTTGTGAACCGCCCATTTACGACGACACTGGGATTACTTGCGACGACAAGTTGTAGCAAATAATATTATTTTGGCAGCAGACGTTGGCGCCATACAACATTTGCCGCCAACTACATATTTGCGACGACATTTGAGTTTTTAGCGACGGTAATATTTTTCTGTTATACAAAATGTATTTGTGACGTTATGTCGTCTTAAATATTTACTTATTTTGTGTGTGTCATCCATATAGACACACACGAATTCACTCATTGTATAACTAAACCACCTTCTATTTACCTTTCATCTTTGACTTTGCAAGATCAAAATTTTCCTTATTGCCTTTTGTTATTATTATTATATATTGTTTTCTTTATTATTTATTATTATCATTACTGATATCATTATTGTTATTATGGTAACAGACTAAGTTGCATAATCTTTTTCCATTCAAATATTGGGCAACTATGTTGACATGCATTATAGGATCCCTACAGTCGGTGGTTGTAGGCCTGT